TTATGGAGGTCAGGTGATCAATGGAGTCCTGTACCAAGCCCCTCTCACAGGGAATCTGATGTTTTCAGATTCACCATGATGTTTTCAGATTCACAGAGACCCAGGGAAATTTGCTGGTCACTCATTACACAATAAAGATATGTATATTTATCATCTGGCAGAATTCTCACATTGCCTACCTGACTTATGGAGAAAGAACCAAAATGCTAGGAAAAGACCAGTGGAAGCTCCTAAAATTCCTCCCTGGTCAAGATACTAAATGAGAAGCCATAGTACATCTGAGGTAAGTGGCAGATTTAGTGCCACCCATCGACTGGAAGAATGCAGGTCCCTATTATATCACCATTCAATTAACTGGTTTGGATCCTGAAAATACCAGATACATCATGGAAGATTATAAGGAACTACCATAAATTTAACCAAGCATCAGTACCAAACATTATTGCATCTGTGCAATTGTCAACACAATAAAGGCAATTAATATCTTAACATTATTATGAAAATAGTGGTGACCCCATAGGCACCCCAGAAGTACCATGGTGACCCCCTAGAGTCTAGGACCAAGGGTGGGAGTAGGAACAGTGCCTTTCACTGTTATTCCCGATGACTCAGTTAAGGAACTTGTGCTTCACCTCCTAGGAGAGAGATGCTTCTGTCAGGCTACACAGTAAGAATTCCACAAAAGCTAAAATTACAGTTTTCTCCCAGTCATTCTGGTCTCTCACAGAGTAGTAGTACAAAGACACTGAAAGTTACTACCCTGTCAGTGGAGATTAATCATTATTATCAAGAAGATATAGAGTTGCTGCTACATAATGAAGGCAGGGAGGTTCATTGTGTTTCCAGATCTAGTGATTAAGCAGAATTGTGTTGTAGCAGAAAGCACAGCCTGACAAGTGCATGGTAACCAGGAGCTCAGAGCCCTCAAGGATAAAGATCTGGTTTACCCCAGATCATCAGAAGAGCGGCTAATTATAAGAAGTGTCTTGATTGAATGGTAGAAGGGATATTATCATTTCCAACTTTTGGATGAGACTGCAATGTGCAGTGTCCTTCACTTCAGTAAAACTCCTATTGTATATGTTGATTTTTAAAAAAATGTTAACCCTAAAGAAAAGATGATAGAAGAGAGCAGACTTAACTTGGGAAGTAAGTTGTTTGGGGCTTTGCAGAGGGTGGACTGTAGCGGACACTGTCAGCACTCTCTCATGTACCCCAGAGCTTACTATATAAGAGTGTTCCAGATACTCAACAGCTTCCAATATCTTTATCTTTATGTTTGATTTATTCTAGAAGGCTATTCTGCCTGTATCCATAGAAGGCTGGAAGTGCTTTGGAATTAACTAACACCCCAAGGAATATTCCTTGACCAATGCTTAATAGGAAAGGGTATACAAATACTTCACCACCCTTAACCCTTGAATGGGATACATCTGAAGTATGTGCTTTATATCATTTTCCAGAGCTACTCCAGGGTTAAGCTATATCTGTCCTCTGTGTCTTGCTTAATAGAGTACTCCTCATTGGCTGGTTTCCAACCCTATATCTGTTTCTACCTCCTTTGTGTCTTGATAGTTCTTGAATCTCCCAAATGAATGACTTGCACTAGGATCTTTCTCTCAGGGTCTGCTTCCAGAGAAATCAAAACCAAAACAAACTAGTAGCTACTACTTTTTGCTAGGTTTTTTGCCTCTTGTTCACTGCTTGGGAATTGGAAAATGCCTTAAGGGTAAAAGCACTTCTAAATATCAGGTTCACTTCTCTGCTCTTCTTTTCTCCTTGGATTCTTGACCCTTCAAGTCCTTACTGATTTGCTGGCTCTCTGATGCCTTCAATAGACTTAAAAAAAATGTATGTAGCTGTTACAGTTGTCCTCAGTGGGAGAGTTGGTCCAACATAACTGATAGCAGAAATCAATTTCTTTCACAAATCCATGTGTAAATTGAAGAAACTTTAATGAGAACCAAGGGCAGTTACTGCCTTATTCCATGACATTTTAAAAACTCAAAAAACATTTTAAAAAATGTAATATCCAATTTTATAGAAGTGAAAAATAACCAAGCCAGGCTCAAGGCATTCTTACATTGTAACTCTTTCAATCGCTTTTGATCCCTTGTTTCCTGCCACTCTCTGCATACATTGGGTAGCTTCTTTGTCCTTATTTTATGAGAAGAAAGTAGACATTTAGATTTGCTGTTGTTTTCATCACATGTTCTGGGAGTAATTACGTAGCTTTCAAGGATTATTCATTCATTCCTTCGAGGGTAAGGGAGCAAATATGAAACATTTACATTTCTTTCAATTTTCTACCAGTAAATACAGTTCAAGAAGGGCACAAAATGGTATTTTACATGGAAACAGAGGCGTTAAGAGAATGAAAAAGAGCTTGTTATAAGAGTTTACCATTAAGACTCATTCTGTAGATTAATAGAGACATCACCAGTCTCCAGGGTTAGCAAGTCAACAATTTCATGTAAATTAAATTTACATAAGAATGTGGGGAAAACAAATAACATTTCAATCTTTGTTGGTAGCAGGTCAAAAAGCCACATCCCCATTGAATTTGGAGCTCTGCTTTAGAGTGACTTTTACTGTGACCTCTTTTCCAGCTTTCAGTTTATTGACTTGCTTAAGGCTTCTCCGTGAACCAATTGGTTTCTGTATAGTTTCAGGTCCATACATTAAGGAAGCGGTGCCTATGAGCTGAGTTGTAGATCTCATACACCGTGTGCTTGTCATTTAACGAAGGCTGTGAAGTTTGAGTTTTTCCTGAAGAGTGACAAATCCTACCTAACGAATTGTCTTCATGTTAAGGAGCCGGGCACAGTGTTGGTATCATCTCATTTACTGGTGTAAGAAATGCCCCTTAACAATTGCTTGCATGTTGGAGAAAAATGAAAAGGAAGACAACTAATAACATATTTATCACAAGGACAAGTCACAGTCTAAATGTTTATCTCATATTACCAAAAATGGTTTTTAAAAAACCATGCACAAATTTTGTCATCATGCCAATTAGATATACGAAGAGTTTTTTCCTCTTCTGCCTGAGACAGAATGAACTTTCCTGATGTAATTTTCATTTCCTCTTCTATGAGATGCCACTCTAGGGTAAAGGAGTATGAAAATGTTCTTACTTCTCTGAAGCAGAGCATCTAAAATGCCATAAGATTAATATCTAATGTGTAAAAGCAAGGCAAAGGGGGCTAGCCCCTTGTCAAAAAATTCTATGTTCCCCTTTCTTGTATTTTTGTAAACATCCTACCTAATCCGTTAGTAATACTCTTGATCCAAACTTTATAATTCCTTGAGAAAAGAAGAGATGTATGGCAATTTTGATTGCAGTTCTTGCCCACCACTGAATTGTGTTTGCTTAACTGGCACACACAGCTTGAAACAACTTGAACTCTACAGCAGACTCCAAACCAAATGCTTTGAAACATGGCAAAGATATTTTCCAAATTTTTTTGTTGGTGGTGGGGTGGCCACCATCAAGGGAATCCAGTTTTAGCTAGCAGAGCCATCTGAAGAACTGTGTTTATAACACTACAGATTGTGGCAACATGTGAAATTAGAAAATACGGAATAGCTCTCATGCAGTTAATTAGAAATAATTATGGATGTTAGGAGGAGGCACTACATGGTGGAACTCATTGGTGGCATTTTTATTTGAGGGTTTTATTTTTGTTAGAGAGTTCTCATCTGGGGGCAAAATCATCAGTCAAGGATTCCCAATTTAGTTGGGGGGAAAACCTGAAGGGATGTATAATAAACCAAAGTCAACTTGCTTATAGGAAAAATAGGAATTTGTGGTGTTGTGAATTCATGATCAGGTCAGAATAGGTTTTAAAAGAATTTCCCCATATGGAGAACACAAATGTTAGTATTATTCCATTTATATGTATTACATGAGATAATCCACATGTACCAGATGTTCCTTCTAAATATCAGGTACAGTGTTCATATACGTATCATTTATTTATTCAAAATATATAGAAAGCTTATATGCCAAGAATATCTCTTAGTGGTTGATTTATACAGATTAAAAAATAAACAGTTTCCATTCAAAGAACTCTCTGAACACTGATAATTTCAACCTCTTAAGTCAAATACTTGTTTCATTATTTTTATATTTCATATTTTTCAAAAATAAGTGCCAGATTTAGGGCCAGATATTTATGATATGTTACATGTCTATGACTCTAATTACAAATACCATGTTACATATTTCTATAAACTAATATTCAATATTTATTTTAAAAGAATACCAGAACAGAAAATCTAACATGAACTGTCCTGAGATCAAGATGAATTTTTGTTATTTTTATGCAGTGTGAATCTGAAAACAAGAGTCAATGTAACATATATTACTCAAATCCCAAATAAATATTAGGGCATAATTTTTTCACCCCTAACTTTCATTAAATGCTTACAATGTACTCTAAATATATTATTGCCTTGCATTTCATGATTCTTTGGGGTGCAGCTATTGATATTTTTGTTTTACACAGAAGGAAATGGAAGTTTTGACAGTCTAAGGTCACTCGGCCAGCATGTGACAGGGTCTTAACTCAGCCTCTACACCTTGATTCCCCTTGTTATCTTATGATCAAGAGGATTTGGAACTTGTGTGAAGATTTTCTTTTTAAGTTTATGTGTTATACTTTATGCCGAATTATCATCAAGAAACATACCGTCATTTGCCTCAAACGCCCATAAAAGGCTCAATTTCATTTTGGATAGAGGTTATCCCATACATTGATATTGCCCCTGTATTTGATTCCTGCCTGATTCTTATGTGTTCAAGGGAAAATGAAATAAGGAAATGAGATGTCTGCTTTGTAAAAGTGATTAAGTGCATTAGAGCATGTGGGATCAGAGGTGTATATTTTAATACTCTAATCTAGAGTCAGTCACCTGTGCTTCCCCCCCCTGAGGATGACAGGCATACATCAGAAAGATTTGGGATTTTTCTGAGTTTTCCTGATTGGCCTAAAGCCATGAAGAGGAGGGGAGAAAATGGCACAGGAACAAAAGAAAGGGAAGGAGGAGAGAAGTGGTATGACAGAGAGACTGACTGGAGAGAAAGAAGGATGGGTAAAAATGTGCATATGGAGAGGAATGGTTTTGAGACCCCAGAGTGTCTGCTGAATGTCTGGCAGGCGCCCGTCTGTCAATAACCCCCTTTTGCTCTAGTGAAGAGGGAGATAATTCATTGCCAGCTCCTTTTCTTCTACTTCTACATTGCTCTCTGGGGTTGGGAGAGGTGAGCAATTTGTTGCAAATACATGATGAATTTCATTAAGAATTCACAACTGCTGTTAACATCACTGGAGATCTGAAAAATAGAAACCCAACATGCTCAGAACAGGTTTGACACACAGAGCAAAGATGTGAAATTTGCCAGAAATTAAAAGCTGTGCTGGTAAATTCAGGTCCTTTATGATTCATTTTTTTTTTCTGGGCAGAACATGATTTTATTGAAATAATGACAGTTACATGTTTTATTAATGTGCTTTTTTAGGCAGGCTTCATAACATGATCTCATCATAAAGTCCTGGAAGGTAATGGATTTATCATTCAATGAGTTAATGCATTAGAAAGTGCTTTGTAGCTTAGAAAGTGCCAAATAAATATTAGCTGTTGCAATCATGTTCCACGTGGCATTTTGACATATAGATTTTTTTATTTTAAGTAAACTTTTATTATAGAACAGTTTAAGTTTTATAGAAAAATTGTGAAACAGTACAGAGATTTTCTACACATGACATTCCTAGTTTCCCCTAGTATAAATACATTCCATTGGTATGGTACAATTATTATTATAAGTAATGAGCCAATATTTATACATTATTTAAAGTCCAAATTTCATTAGTCATTACTGAATGTCCTTTTTCTGCTCCATGATACCACATTACATTGATTTCTCATGTTTCCTGTAGATCCTCTTGGGTGTGACAGTTCTGCAGACCTTCCTTGTTTTTGAAGACGTTGATCGTTCTGAGGACCCTGTTCAGATATTATATAGAATGTCCCTCATTTATGATTGCTCTGGTATTTTTCTTATGGTTAGACTGAGGTCATAAATTTTGGGGAAGATTATCATAGAAGTAAAGTGCTATTTATATCACATCATATCAAGGGGATATACTACATTAACATGACATCTCTCTTGATGTTGGTCACCTGCCAAAGGAAGTGTTTGCCAGTTTCTCCACTGTAAAGTTACTCATCCGCCTGTCCTCCATTCCATACTATACTGTTTGGAAGAAAGTCACTGTGCACAGCCCACACTTAAGGAGTGGGAAGTTATACTCCACCTCCTGGAATGTACAGTATCTACATAAATTATTTGGAAATCTTTTGCTCAGGAGATTTCTTCCTCCTCCTTCATTTATTCGATCATGTATTTATATCAATATGGACTCATATATTTATTTTTTACCTTGTGTGATCGTCCACTACCACTTTGTTTTGTTGCTCAAAGTATTACAGCTTTGGGAACAGTTTATGTTCCCTTTGATATACCTGCTTCTTTGTGTGTACGGTTGTTTTTTGTTGTTTGTTTGCTTGTTTTTCAGTTTTATGGTTTTGTTTAGCACTTCTTTAGAACCTCTGCCTCCCGGGTTCGGGCAATTATCCGGCCTCAGCCTCCCGAGTACCTAGGATTACAGGCGTATGCTGCCACACCTGACTAATCTTTGTGTTTTTAGTAATGGTGGGGTTTCATCGTGTTGGCTAGGCTGGTTTTGATTTCCTGATCTCATGTGATCCACCCTCCTAGCCTCCCAAATTGCTGGGATTATAGAGGTGAACCACTGTGCCTGGCCAGGTTTAGCACTTTTGAAAAGAGAAAGGGAAAAAAGAAAGGAAGGAGAGATGTTAGGGGGAACCTCCAGGAAGTTCTCAACCAGAACATCAAGGGGATCCATACCAATTATTGCCCTTTAGAGGAGATCTATGTAGGGCAGAAATGGCTTGGCTCTGGTGTCCCCACCGTACCTAGTCATCGGCTGAGAGTACTCGGAGTGTGACTCTGGTATAAACACTCTAGTGATTTCAAGGTGCGGGAGTTGGTGGCTGTACCAGGGAGCTAAAAGCCAACGATTTCCAAGTTCATTACAATTATCTATCATTCCGTTGTCTGTTATGTGCTGGAATTGTGTCCCCCAAAATTCATATGTTGAAGCTCCATTTCTCCAGTGCCATGGAATGCCACTGTATTTAGAGACAAGTTCTTTAAAGAGAGATCAAGTCATTAGAGTGGGTTCTAATTCGATCTGACTGGTGTCCCTATAAGAATAGAAGATCAGGATACAGACACACACAGAGGGAAGATCACAGAAGGACACAGGGAGCAGATGGCCATCTACAAACCAATCAAAGAAGCCTCAGAAGAACAGACATTTTGATTGCAGACTTCTAGCCTCCAAAATTGTGAGAAAATAAATTTCTCTTGTTTAAGCCACCAGTCTGTGGTATTTTGAAGCCGTTTAGCAAATGAACATAAAGTTCTCACATTTAAAAGTTTTTCATTTAAAAAAGATGCATCACAGAAATATTTAAGTATTTACAGGTAAAATGCTATAATGTCTGGAATTTATTTTGACATACTCCAACTGAAAAAGAGAGGACAGATGATAAAAATGGCAAAATGATTACAATGAAAGCTGCGTTTGACTGGATGAAAATTCACCATCGTATTCTCTCTATTTGAGTGTATAATTGAAAATTGACATAATAAATAGTTAAAAATTGTAACCAACTCATTGTTATTAATTATTGATAAGTCAACTGGACATAGCTTGTCAAGATCTGTGTTTATTTTTGAAATGTTAAATTTAGAAAACCACAATAATAACAGCTAGCCACTGAAAGTCAGGGGTTCTACTACACACTTTACGTAGCTTTTTTATTGGTTTTGATAACTAGGCCAATAAGTTAACTATTATTGGCCCTAATTTACACAGCAAATAGCTTAGTTTGGACTTCAACAATAGCATACTTGCTTCCAAATCCAGTGTCATTCCACTATACTTTTCTGTTATGCCCCTGACTTCCATATTAATAACTACTTTTATTGAATATTTACTATTTGTCAAAAAGTTTATTTTTTAAAGTTTTTAAATTTTTTTATTGCATTTTAGGTTTTGGGGTACATGTGAAGAACATGCAAGATTGTTGCATAGGCACACACGTGGCAGTGTGATCTGCTGCCTTCCTCCCCATCACCCACATCTAGCACTTCTCCCCATGCTATCTCTCCCCAACTCCCCTCCCCCCGCTGTCCCTCCCCTATTTCCCCCCAACAGACCCCAGTGTGTAGTGCTCCCCTCACTGTGTCCATGTGTTCTCATTGTTCAACACCTGCCCATGAGTGAGAACATGCAGTATTTGATTTTCTGCTCTTGTGTCAGTTTGCGGAGAATGATGGTTTCCAGGTTCATCCATGTCCCTACAAAGGACACGAAATCATCATTTTTTACGGCTGCATAATATTCCATGGTGTATATGTGCCACATTTTCCCTGTCCAGTCTATCGTCAATGGGCATTTGGGTTGTTTCCAGTTCCTTGCTATTGTAAACAGTGCTGCAATGAACATTTGTGTGCACGTGTCCTTATAGTAGAATGATGTATAATCCTTTGGATGTATACCCAGTAATGGGATTGCTGGGTCAAATGGAATTTCTATTTCTAGGTCCTTGAGGAATCGCCACACTGTCTTCCACAATGGTTGAACCAATTTACACTCCCACCAACAGTGAAACAGTGTTCCTATTTCTCCACATCCTCTCCAGCATCTGTTGTCTCCAGATTTTTTAATGATTGCCATTCTAACTGGCGTGAGATGGTATCTCAATGTAGTTTTGATTTGCATTTCTCTGATGACCAGTGATGATGAACATTTTTTCATATGCTTCTTGGCCTCATGTATGTCTTCTTCTGTAAAGTATCTGTTCATATCCTTCACCCACTTTTGAATGGGCTTGTTTGTTTTTTTTCTTGTAAATCTGTTTTAGTTCTTTGTAAATTCTGGATATCAGCCCTTTGTCAGTTGGATAAACTGCAAAAATTTTTTCCCATTCTGTTGGTTGCCAATTCACTCTAATGACTGTTTCTTTTGCTGTGCAGAAGCTGTGGAGTTTGATTAGGTCCCAAATGTCTTTTTGGCATTTGTTGCCAATGCTTTTGGTGTTTTGGTCATGAAGCCCTTGCCTATGCCTATGTCCTGAAAGGTTTTGCCTAGATTTTTTTCTAGGGTTTTTATGGTGTTAGGTCTTATGTTTAAGTCTTTAATCCATCTGGAGTTAAGTGTAAGGCATCAGGAAGGGGTCCAGTTTCTGCTTTCTGCACATGGCTACCCAGTTTTCCCAACACCATTTATTAAACAGGGAATCCTTTCCCCATTGCTTGTCTTTTTCAAGTTTGTCAAAGATCAGATGGTTGTAGATATGTTGTGTTGCCTCCGAGACCTCTGTTCTGTTCCATTGGTCTATATCTCTGTTTTGGTACCAGTACCATGCTGTTTTGATTACTGTAGCCTTGTAGTATAGTTTGAAGTCCGGTAGTGTGATGCCTCCCGCTTTGTTCTTTTTGCTTAGAATTGACTTGGCTATGCGGGCTCTCTTTTGGTTCCATATGAAGTTTAAGGTGGTTTTTTCCAGTTCTGTGAAGAAGGTCATTGGTAGCTTGATGGGGATAGCATTGAATCTGTAAATTACTTTGGGCAGTATGACCATTTTCACGATATTGATTCTTCCTAACCAGGAACATGGAATATTTTTCCATCTGTTTGTGTCCTCTCTTATTTCGTTGAGCAGTGGCTTGTAGTTCTCCTTGAAGAGGTCCTTTACATCCTTTGTTAGTTGTATTCCCAGGTATTTTATTCTCTTTGTGGCAATTGTGAATGGCAGTTCGTTCTTGATATGGCTCTCTTTGAGTCTGTTATTGGTGTATAGGAATGCTTGTGATTTTTGCACATTGATTTTGTATCCTGAGACTTTGCTGAAGTTGCTTATCAGTTTCAGGAGATTTTGGGCTGAGAGGATGGGGTCTTCTAGATATACAATCATGTCATCTGCAAATAGAGACAATTTGACTTCCTCCTTTTGTATTCGAATACACTTTATTTCTTTTTCTTGCCTGATTGCTCTGGCTAGAACTTACAGTACTGTATTGAATAGGAGTGGTGAGAGAGGGCATCCTTGTCTAGTGCCAGATTTCAAAGGGAATGCTTCCAGTTTTTGTCCATTCAGTATGATATTGGCTGTTGGTTTGTTGTAAACAGCTTTTATTATTTTGAGATACATTCCATGAATACCTAGCTTATTGAGGGTTTTTAGCATAAAGGGCTGTTGAATTTTGTCAAAGGCCTTCTCTGCATCAATTGAGATAATCACGTGGTTTTTGTCTTTGGTCCTGCTTATGTGGTGTGTTACATTTATAGACTTGCATATGTTGAACCAACCTTGCATCCCAGGGATGAAGCCTACTTGATCGTGGTGGATTAGCTTTTTGATGTGCTGTTGCAATCAGCTTGCCAGTATTTTATTGAAGATTTTTGCATCTATGTTCATCATGGATATTGGCCTGAAGTTTTCTTTTCTTGTGTCTCTGATGGGTTTTGGTATCAGGATGATGTTTGTCTCATGAAATGATTTTGGAAGGATTCCCTCTTTTTGGATTGTTTGGAATAGTTTCAGAAGGAATGGTACCAGCTCCTCTTTGTATGTCTGGTAGAATTCGGCTGTGAACCCATCTGGACCTTGGCTTTTTTTGGGTGGTAGGCTCTTAATTGCTGCTTCAACTTCAGACCTTGTTTTGGGTCTGTTCAGGGCTTCAGCTTCTTCCTGGTTTAGGCTTGGGAGGAGGCAAGTGTCCAGGAATTTATCCATTTCTTCCAGGTTTACTAGCTTATGTGCATAGAGTTGTTTGTAATAATCTCTGATGATGGTTTGAATTTCTGTGGAATCTGTGGTGATATCCCCTTTATCGTTTTTTATTGCATCAATTTGGTTATTCTCTCTTTTCTATTTTATTAATCTGGCTAGTGGTCTGTCTATTTTGTTGATCTTTTTGAAAAACCAGCTCCTGGATTTATTGATTTTTTGAAGGGTTTTTTTATGTCTCTGTCTCCTTCAGTTCTGCTGTGATCTTAGCTATTTCTTGTCTTCTGCTAGGTTTTGAGTTATTTTGATCTTGCTCCTCTAGCTCTTTCAATTTTGGCTATAGGGTGTCAATTTTTGATCTCTCCTTGCTTTTCAGGTGGGCACTTATTGCTATATATTTTCCTCTAGAGACTGCTTTAAATGTGTCCCAGAGATTCTGGTATGTTGTGTCTTCATTCTTGTTGGTTTCGAAGAACATCTTTATTTCTGCCTTCATTTCATTGTTTATCCAGTCAACATTTAAGAGCAAGTTGTTCAGTTATCATGAAGCTGTGCAGTTCTGAGGTAGTTTTTGAATTCTGAGTTCTAACTTGATTGCACTGTGGTCTGAGAGACTGTTTGTTATGATTTCTGTTCTTTTGCATTTGCTGAGGAGTGATTTACTCCCAATTATGTGGTCAATTTTAGAGTAGGTGTGATGTGGTGCTAAGAAGAATGTAGATTCTGTGGATTTGGGGTCGAGAGTTCTGTAAATATCTATTAGGTTAGCTTGGTCCAGGTCTGAGTTCAAGTCCTGGATATCCTTGTTAATTTTCTGTCTGGTTGATCTGTCTAATATTGACAATGGGGTGTTAAAGTCACCCACTATAATTGTGTGGGAGTCTAAGTCTCTTTGTAAGTCATTAAGAACTTGCTTTATGTATCTGGGTGCTCCTGTATTGGGTGCGTATATATTTAGGATCGCAAGCTCTTCTTGTTGCATTGATCCTTTTACCATTACGTAATGTCCTTCTTTTCCCTTTTGATCTTTGTTGCTTTAAAGTCTATTTTATCAGAGATGAGAATTGTAACTCCTGCTTTTTTTGCTTTCCATTTGCTTGGTAAATCTTCCTCCATCCCTTTATTTTGAGCCTCTGAGTATCCTTGCATGTGAGATGGGTTTCCTGGATACAGCACACCGATGGGTTTTGGCTTTTTATCCAATTTGCCAGTCTGTGTCTTTTGATTGGGGCATTTAGTCCATTTGCATTTAGGGTTACTATGATTATTTGTCAATTTGTTACTGTCATTTTGTTGCTAGCTGGCTCTTTTGCCCATTAGTTGATGCAGGTTCTTCATTGTGTTGATGCTCTTTGCCATTTGGCATGTTTTTGGAGTGGCTGATACTGGTTGTTCCTTTCTATGTGTACAGCCTCTTTCAGGAGCTCTTGTAAAGCAGTCCTGGTGGTGGCGAAATCTCTGAGTACTTGCTTGTTCGCAAAGGATTTTATTTTTCCTTCACTTATGAAGCTTAGTGCTGGATAGGAGATTCTGGGTTGAAAGTTCTTTTCTTTAAGGATGTTGAATATTGGCCCCACTCTCTTCTGGCTTGTAGGGTTTCTGCTGAGTGATCTGCTGTGAGTCTGATGGGCTTCCCTTTGTGGGTAACCCTACCTTTCTCTCTGGCTGCCCTTAGGATTTTCTCCTTCATTTCGACCCTGGTGAATCTGACGATTATGTGCTTGGGGTTGCTCTTCATGAAGACTATCTTTGTGGTGTTCTCTGTATTTCCTGGACTTGAATATTGGCCTGCCTTGCTAGGTTGGGGAAGTTTTCCTGGATAATATCCCGAAGAGTATTTTCCAGCTTGGATTCACTCTCTTCGTCACATTCAGGTACACCTATCAAATGTAGATTAGGTCTTTTCACATAGTCCCACATTTCTTGGAAACTTTGTTCATTCCTTTTTACCCCTTTTTCTCTATTCTTGCCTTCTCGTATTATTTCATTGAGTTGATCTTCGACCTCTGATATCCTTTCTT